GAAACACACAGAGGATTTAAAATGTTTGCACTCTCACCATTCCCTTTCAGATTTATGTAACAGAATTCAAAGTGTGCGAACACTTAGTCACTTCTACACGGAAGGCAGAGTGAAACTATCCCAAAGGCGAGGTTGGCAGTGAGCACTCCCTCAACTTTCAATTTTGCCCTATTCTCATCCTCCAAAGTGACCTTGTTCTTTCTATTTTCTGGATGCTTGATGTAAAAGAGGCATTATGACTTTCATGATTGAATAACAGTTACAAATTTCCATTTCACTTTTCTTACCAGCTTAGATGTGGTTTAATGCAGCGTGCTAGAATTCTCCCAGAGGTGGATCTGAGCTGAACTGACTAGGTTTCTGACTGCCAACTCTTCTGCACACAAAAATAGCAGCATAACCTATTACACACATTTGTTATCTGTTACTAAGAGAAAATTACCAACCCACCCAGAGAAACAGAAATACATCTGATCATGGGACTTCTCCAAAGGCCAGAAAACCTGTTAGTTTTACATCAAAGAGCTCACACAGACTCTCAGAAAAAGGTAAACGTTTCCAAACAATCAAAACAAAAGATTTCAAGGAGGCCATATTTTTGTTTTCCAAATTAAAAAAAAAAAAAAGTGCCTGGCCTAAATACTTTACAAGTGGTTAGTGCTAACTAAGAATGCATTTCCTTTCACCAAGTTTGCAAGTAGATGTCTTTAAGATAGCAGTTCTCTTCGGTAGATATTTCTTCAGTGTTTATGTATGTCGAACCCTGGGGATGGACATGATTGTGGATGTACTCAGTCGTGTCTAGACTCTCTGCGACCCCATGGACGATAGCCCGTCAGGCTCCTCTGTCCATGGGATTCTCTAGGCAAGAAATCTGGAGTGGGTTGCCATTTCCTTCTCCAGGGGATCTTCCCGACCCAGGGGTCACACTGGCAGGTGGATTCTTTACCATTGCACTACCTGGGAAGCCCCATGTAGAACCCTGCAGGGGACTTAATTGACCTACAGGAGATCCAGTAACATCTAAGCGACCAATCCTGCCTGGAGAAGACTTACTGTCCAGAGCAATACTACTTCTAATGTAGGCATCTCCCTAAACCAGACTAGTATAATGCTTCTCTCCCTTCATGAAATATCATTACTCTCTTTTCTCAACATTCTTCATAGGAGTTGATTTCCATGATTAATTTAAGAGGAAGAGGGAGCGGAGTGGGGCGGGGGCTGAAATAGATAAATGAATGTGAAACTTGTAACTTTGATTTTGACCTTTAATAGTCAAATAAAGGTTTTTAACAAAGTGGACAATAATTCACTGTAAGTAATAACGTCATATCAATCTTGCCATGGAGTAGGAACCAAGAATATAGGGCCATACACATGTAGTCGCTGGGATATGACAAGCTTGGAACCTATTTATAACTTTTAAAGTATTTTATGACTCTTTCTTTCCAAAGAAGCACACATCACATTGCATGAGGTCTGTGAATATACAAGTGTTCTTCTCTGCCAAAGGCAGCTGAGAAAGCAAAAGGATTATCCAAGTATTGTTTTTCAAACCTGAATCTATGAAGGGTAATTATACAGAAATATTTGGTACTTAGTAACCTTGAAACTTTGAATTCAGGAAGATATTCTGTCCCCAGGGCTACATGGTCTGATGGCGCAGGTTCATAAATCCAACGAGAATGGATCTGGCTATTGTAACTCTACCCACCTTTGTGCAGTTGTCAAACAAACCCAGTGTCCATAAAGCCTCACCCTAGCCCAGTGCCTGCCTTTGGGGGGCGCCTGATGTTTTGTCAAGCAGAACCCAGTATGAGTATGGCTGCTTTTTAAATTGGTTTAGAATACATGTATATGTATGGCTGAGTCCCTTTGCTGCTCACCTGAAACTATCACAACATGCTTAATCAGCTATACCCCAGTACAAAATTAAAAAAAATTTTGTTTTAATAAACTGGTTTGGAAAATAAGGAATCTCCATTCTGCTTAATCTTTGTTTTCAGTGAATCACATAACACTAGATTATTAGTAATGCTTCCATTAACTCTGGAGTTCAAAATCAGGGGTATCCAGGTAATATTTAATACAAAATGAAGGAAGTTTCAAACCAAACTATCAAATACTGTTGGACTGAAAAAATAAAAGCAACACCAGGCAGGGGTTACATGGGCTAGGAAGAGGGTGGCTGAGTTATTTCCTTTGGGACAATTGCAAGGGAAACATCTTATTTCCAGAAGCCGAGTTCTGTACACAGTTATCCCAGTGTAGGATCGGAATTTCCTTGTAGACTTCACCACTTTACCTAGTGAACATCAGAGCTGCTGGCTACCCTCCCAGACACACTTCTTCCCTTATCACAGTCCCTCTGGGGTAAGTTCCCTGTCTGGGTAGGAAGAAAAGTGAGACGGCCAAAGCCAGTCTGTTCTGTAAGTAACTTCCCTTCACAAAAAATGTCTTGCCTGAGCGTCTGGGCTTCTCTGGTGGCTCAGACCATAAAGAATCTGCCTGCAACGTAGGAGACCCAGGTTCGATTCCTGGATGGGGACGATCCCCTGGAGAGGGGAATGGCTACTCACGCCAGTATTCTTGCCTGGAGAATTCCGCGGACAGAGGAGCCTGGTGGACTACAGTTCATGGGGTTGCCAAGAGTCGGACTAGACTGAGTGGCTAACACATGGAAGTACAGTAATTCTTAAGTGGCACCACAAGATAGATGTCCTATATTAAAAAACATGCCTCTTCTCTTTCACAGTCTGCTTTGTTTTTCTAATTTTTAAAAATCATCTTTATCGTACCAGTACACACAGTTCCTTTTAAACCTGTATTTTGCTTCAGCAATGAGGAGAGGATGTTGTTTACAATTTGACTTTCTGGTTCTCATGCGCCTGTAAAATATTTTTCTTCAATTGGTTTTAAAAGCTTTTTTTTTTTCCCAAGAAACTTTGGATTCTATCTTTTACTGGGGGTTCAAACTTAAAGTAACCGATGACCTCCAAAGGCCAACCTCATGCAGATGTCAGCAAGATGAAAAACAGAACTTAACATTTTGCACAACAATATTTGCATTCCTATTAGCTTTTGCAAATGCAGTACATCTCATCCTCTTGGGCTGACTGCAAAGGTGCCCTGGCAAGAGGAACAGGACTATGTGACTCTAATAGGTTAACATACTGAACTGAGCTGTTTTAAAGGGAATAAATGCTGTGGCCTAGGGGCAATTACTGGGTGGACTTCAGTGAACATTCTTGGAAATGACTTAACAGCAAACTGTGTGTCAAGAGGGGGCAGGGAGACACATTCTGCTCTCGTTAAATATCTTCATCGAAACCTCAAACACGATCATGATTTTACAGCCTAATTGAATGTAATCTTGATTTTAAAAAGAAGCTGCAAAGAGTCGATACAAAAAAATAAATATATACGAGCTGCACTCAAGTCTGTATTTCCACAAATGCTTTAAAGGTTTGCTGTGTAGAAACCAGTGATTATGTAACAAGTCGATTTCAAAGATTACATCTCTTACAGTTACATCCTGATAAAACAGTTGAGATCAAGTCACTAAACATTCTTGCAATTCAAATAGAAGAAAATAGATTAACTCTTTGCTTGGGAGGGTCGGGGTGGGGGGGAGAGGATATATGATGAGAAATCTGTACCAATCTTCCTGAACAGTTAGGGAGGAATAAGTTAAGGAGGAAGCACAAATTTGGTGACTGTGAGGTGAAGCACTAATTTATGGTCCTTTGAAGGCGGTGTCTGACAGACAGGTGTCTGCCGTTGCTTAGCTTGGCTGGGCGGCGAGCAATGAAAGCTAGTGGCTCCCCCTGCACACCCGAGGGTCAGAGTTTTTTTTCCTCCTGGTGCTATCTCGCTGACTGTCCCCAGCACTGGCTCTTTGGGTCAAGGGAAGTTGAGGGCCCTCACTGTTGCCCTCCAGACCCCAGAGCATCCAATTCCGGGTATCGTCTGCAGAGCTCGCGGGCCCCGGCGCCCAGGGTGGAGAACTGGCCTTCCAGCGAAACCGCCCCAGGCCTCCGGCCCCCCAGCTCGTCTGTCCGGGTCTCCGGCCCTGTCGCCGAGGCCGAGCGCACAGAGCTCGCGTCGCCGTTTTGGAAAGCGACGCAGCTCCCTGCTCCGGCGCGCTCCCCGCGCCCCGGGTCCCCGCTGAGGCCGCGCCGAGTCCCTGGGACTTTGACGGGTTAGGACAGGCGACGCCGAGGGCCAGGCGGCCTCCAGCCGTCCCCAGCCCTGCCCCAGCGCCGGTTCCAGCGCCGCGCCGCGCCGCGCCGGCAGAGAAGCAGCTGTTCCCAACAGCTGGGGGGCGGCGGCGCCGGGCGCCCCAGGTGCGGCCGCGGCCAATCGCAGGCGTCCGGCCCGCCCCCTCCCCAGCCGGGCGCCGACCCCCGGCCCGCGGGGGGAAGGGAGCAGAGAGGTGGAGAGCCGTCCTCGCCACTTGTCTTCCAGCTTCCGCGGCGGGAGGGACAGGACACGGAGCCGAAGCCGCGCGGAGTCTCCCCCACACCGACCCCCCGCACCCCAATACCCGGGGCCCCGCCACCGCCGCCGCGCCCCCCGCCAGCCCACCTCCGCGCCTGGACGCTCTCACTGCCGACCCTCCCCAGGCCCCACCCGAGACACCTACCTAGTTTCTGCGAAAGAAAAAAAAATCTACCTCTAAACGCACCCCGATCTTCGCTTGAGGACCACCCCTCTCATTTCACATTTTGGCCTCCCCGCCGGGTGAGTGGAAAGCGTTTGCACATCCTACAGAACCGGAGCCTCAGCCAGACGATCCGGAGGATTTGTACCGTGACCGGCAGGGGGGGCGGGAGGAAAGAGCGAAGTCAGGTCTCCCCGGGCGGCTGCTGGCGACTTCGGCAGCCGCGCGCCCCGCGCCCTCGGTCGCCCCCGGGCCGCTCGCCCCCGCCGCCGCGCCGTCACCCTCGCCCCTGGGCTCGCCCGTAGCCCCCGGTGGCCGCGAGAGGGTGCGGGAGACGCGGAGCCGGAGGAGGACGCGCAGCCGCTGCCCGAGCCGCAGCCGCAGCCGCAGCCGGAGCCCCAGCCGCGGGGCGGGCGCGAAGATGCACACCACCCAGAAGGACACGACGTACACCAAAATCTTCGTCGGGGGGCTGCCCTACCACACCACGGACGCCAGCCTGCGCAAGTATTTCGAGGTCTTCGGCGAGATCGAGGAGGCTGTGGTCATCACCGACCGGCAGACGGGCAAGTCCCGGGGCTATGGATTTGTAAGTTGCGCGGATGGGGGGGTACCTGGAGGGGAAACTGAGGACCGCGGGGGCGGGGAGAGAACGGAGTGGCGCTGGGTCGGAGGGGTTGGAGTTTGGAGTGAGGGGCTCGGCGCGCCGGTGCGAGGACCCCTGCGAACTGGAGCGCCGCTGCCCCTTCGCTCCCCCGGCTGAACTGAAAGTTTGCGCGCCTTGGCGCTGGGGACCGAAGGCCGGCGCCTGCCTCGCGGGGTTCCGGGGGGACCGAGAGCGCGGCGGCGGGGTCGGGGGACAGGCGGAGCAGGGGTGGAGGGGAGAGAGAGAACTGTGATGTCTGCGGGATTTGGGGGTTGCGGAGATCTGGGAGGGAGGGGCCGCAGCCCCTGGGAATAATTGCACTCCAGGGTTGGAGGCTGGTGGTTAAGCGCGCTGTTTGCTTTGTAAAAATGAGTGCGTCTTCCTGGCGTTCCGGCTGGGGCCGGGAGGGGACACTCCAGGGGGTCTGGGGCTCTTCTTCTTAGGCCACCCCCCTCACCACCCCTACCACCCCCCCTTTTTTTTTCGTAATTGCAAAGATGACTTCTTTTAAAAGATGAGCCTCTGGCTCTTTGCCAAACTGAAAGAGAGCATAGTTAAGCTTCCCGGAGATTTCAGCGTGCGAATTCAGCTGCCGAGGAGCAGGAGCCCCATCGCAGGACAATAGCTATTGTGGTTGAGGAGTGTTTGCGGGGTTGGGAACGCCGGGCGGACGCGAGGCCAGTCTTTCTTGAAAGCAAACCGTGGCCTTCGGGCCGGGTAGGGACACGGGGAATGGTCGGGGGAAGGGGAATCTGGAGGAGTTCTGAGACGGAATTCTGGCTTCCGAGTTTCTGTTAGGCCCTACCAGCACCCTTAGAACTTTAGAGGTGGGGGGAGGCGGTGGTTCTTTCTTTACACCTTTCTGTATTCTTATTTTTGTGTGTTTTGGATGGAGGGTCAAGTATAATTCTATAGTTTCCTCTCCCCCTACAACCCCCACTGCCAGGAAAAAAAGAAAAAGTTAATGAACCAGCATAGTTTTACTAACACGAATAACTTCTCCATGCGATTCTTGATTTCTTCGGAGGTTGATTTAGAGCTCTGTGTGTATGTCTGTGTGTATGTTGCTAAGGTCACCATGGCTGACCGGGCTGCTGCTGAAAGAGCTTGCAAGGATCCCAACCCCATCATTGATGGCAGGAAGGCCAACGTGAACCTGGCATACTTGGGAGCAAAACCAAGGATCATGCAACCAGGTGAGAAAGATCCCTGGAACCACCTCCACCGCCCCCTCCCCCTCCATAGAGACCCCCCACTTCTGAATAGGGTGAATCCCTGATTGAGAAGACCCTAGTTCCCTGAGCATCTGTAGATGTGTTGAGTAAAGTTGAACTGTGGCTGGTTATTCTACCAAGACATGAAAGATAGATGAGAGTTGAAAAGACTCCTTTCTTGACTTGAAATGTACCTGTGGGCAAAAAATAGATCTTGGGGTTGGGTTCAGTTTGTACACACCCAGACTTGGGCTTGACTCCCCTGTTTTCTGTATACATAGTTCAATCTCCATTTTCCTCTTCTTGGCCACTTGTTGGCCATTCCAGTGTGGATGACATGGGTCAGATTTGTCAACTCCAGCTGGTTACACGTCTCTACATGGTGGTGTTTCTTCTTTGGCCACCAGTTGCCCTGTGCTCAGAGCGGGCAGTTCAACCAGAACACTGACCCAAAAGAAACATAGGGGGCTGGTGGTGCCCAGATGGTAAATGTTTAAAATAAAATCACAGCATATTTGTAATGATAGAAAATAAAGAGATTCCATGCACTTCAGGACCCTTACGTTACAGATGAAGATACTGATGCAGAGATGAGAAATGGTTTACTCCAAAGTTATACAGCTGTTAGTCACCAAAAGGGAGAGAATTTCATCTATGTGAAAACATGACCTTTTGGATTACTTACTACACTGTCTTTTGCATTCGCACAAGTAATTGTGAATCAACTATTCAACAAACGTAATCTTTTTCTTGGGCATGCAACTTTAAATATTTTCTCTTCATTCTTAAGTCTGTCCATCTGAAATTTTGGAAAGAGGTAGACATTTCTATCCAAACAGATTTGCTAGGAAAGTAGATCATCAAGAAAGGGTGTGCATGTGCAAATATTCATGAGCATTAAAAAAACATGTATTTATCTAATACAGTGTGTGTGTTTTGCTGTCCAGAAGAGTCTGTTTTGTAAATGTTTAATACTATAATCTGTAAAAGCCATAATCTTCCAAAGCATTGTCCCAAACATTCCAGAATGTCCCAAATTAAAAAGACTTTTTTATAGATCATGATTCAGAATTGTTGGAAGATCTGCCACGTGTAACTTCATTATCAAGTCCTGTTGTTCTTGGTTTCTTTCCATAAGAACGTTTTATGTCTGATTTTCTAAGGTCTTACTCTGTGTCTGTCAACTAAACTTTGAGGATCATTTCTAGTTTCCACTTGAAAATTTTATTTAACTTAACAATAACATTAGTAAAATGACTTTTAAAAACCTATTTATAATATTTTCTCTAAAGTATTAAAAGAATGATTACCTTTTCTAAGTGAAAGGTGTGATTGCGTTTTATTTGTAGAAGTAATAAATGCCTAACATGCACAAATAGAAAATGTGGTATGTTTTATTGTTAGGTTTTGCCTTTGGTGTTCAACAGCTTCATCCAGCCCTTATACAAAGACCTTTTGGGTAAGTCAATGAATCAGGCCTTCCTAAGTTTCAATATGACTATCATTTGTTAACCTGTCTTTTTGTTATATCCAGACCAGACCATCATGTTATAGACTATTCCTGGTTTACATATTTATATATGTTTGTGTATTTTGAATGCTGATAATGTAAATATTTTTAGATGAGTCAAGTTATCTGACCAAGTATGCAGCCTCCCAACCAGACCCATTTTGAGCTTATGATTAACAAAACAAAACAAAAATACCAGGTATGACTTGTGTACAGACGATTGTGTCCCAACACCATGACTGCTGTTCAACTTGACTCAATTGTATTTATCTCTTTCTAACCTGACAGGGCTCGTATACTGTTAAGCTAACTGATCAGAAGGATACCATGATAAGAGGTGGAATAGTTCTGTTTGGAATTAAACTCTGTAACCAGTAGACTCAGACACACAAGCTCAGATGGTGATTAACGATGCATGGATGTTGGTGTTGTTTTATTTTTTCACCATAGTCAATAGACCTCCGTGTGCTTTATTTTATTACAGTCATGAAGTGGTGTTGATAGCTAAACTGTGTGCTTTTTTTACTTAATTGAAAAGAGCTGTAGTGAAAGTGTTTTCTTTTCCTCGGGGAAGGGGCTCTTTGTGTTTTTGGTTTTGGTGGTGGTGTTGACGGGTGTTGACTTTTGACTTTGCCATGGGAAGCAAAGGGCCTTTTTTTATTTCCTTGCTTTTAAGCTGTAGCCTGTAACTTCCACTTAACCATATTTTTGTAGTGAGTGCTAAATGGTGTGATTTCCCTCTGTAAGAACACAGATTCATCGCTTGCATGTCCTAAGTTTCTGTTTTACTGGGGCGTTTTTCTGGGGATGGGGCTCTTTCTTTGGCAGTGTGTATCCACTTTTAGGCCTTCTAATTTAAAGGTTCAACAACTCTCATCAGATTTCATTAACACTGGCCAGTTTTTTTGAGCAGAGTAGCACTAACCTTCACCTTTCAGATCTGACTCGGGTGAACAGCCGGCTTATATTTGTGTTCTCTGGGTTCTGTGATTACGAGCCTTCCCTGTCCAAGCTCCCCAACTTCCCTTCCATTCAGACACTATATGGGGGAAAAAACATCTCCAAGCACCTCAATTTATTCTGAACACCTAGGGTCTGTTTTCTGCCTGATTCACTTGGCTGTAACTAATGCCAGAAATTTACACTCTCCTTTTGAATATTCTAACTGTTTAGAAGTGTTTCATTCTCAACAATATTAACAGTTTCTTCTGCATCTTAGCACCTGAACATCTACATGTGTAACCTGAAAGGTTAGATTCTATCTGCCAAGATAGATATATACCAAGAGTAGATCCAAAGAAGCAATAATAATTTGACTTGGAAGATTCAAGTTATATTTTCCGTGAATACCTTCTTTATAACCTTCCCTTAACCATATCAAGATTCTCACTCTTACTGCCAACCCTTATTTTTTTTTTAAACCATAGAAGAATTTTCTGTCCAATAAGATTAGAAAGGGCCTTCGTGTATCCATAATGACACCCCATCCAAACCATTCTGGATATGACAACAAATAGTAGTTGATGGGTCCAACTACTTCTGGGGATGCCCCCTCTCATTGGTCTAGACTATGTTTAAGGTAGAACTGGGGAGAACATACATCTTAAGAAGTGACGGTGAACTTAAATCATGGTTTCACATTACTAATCCCAAGACAGCTGTTATACAGCTAAATTGATCAACCGGTATTAGCATGTGTGTATTTTTCTCGGTGCTAGTGGATGGTACAAAGTAAGGAGACTGCATTTTGGTTTGGGAAATGAAACTAACACAAATCCATCAGGAACTATTCATTGCTAAATTACTTGGTATTATTTGAAGTACAAGAGGAATTATGAATAGCAAGAAAATAGATGAGTCGGAGGAGTTGGACAAAGCTTTGTGGGGACTGGAATAAGACTTGGACCAGTGGTATGTCTGGACAGGTGAAAGGAAAAAAGGGACCTGTCTAAAGGGTATAGGATAGGGGAATATCAGCAAAGGCACAGAGGAGAAAAGACTCAGTGCATGGAGAAATGAGACGTCTATGGAGGGTCTTGAGAGGTAGACACAGAAATTTGAACTGGCTGTGATAGTCCTGTGGATCCATGAGAAAGAAAGCAGTATATGGGAAAAAAGAACAAACAGAATGTGTCATGTGGAAGTTTTAAATCAAGTATATTTGGATAGTAACCTTTAGTTGTTCATCCCTTCTAATAGCAGCTGTCTTTATAAAGGATGGTGATTATTACTGTTTGGATAAATTGAACTTGAGGTTCTTATTAGAAATAGATAGCATTCCAGATAGACCAAGCAAGGCTTCTCTTTCTTTTTAGGGGTTCTTAACACTGCTCTAATTCCCAGAGTCTGTACCTAACAAATCACACCTGGTCATCCTCAATTCTATTTGAATGCCACATGTTCTTATTTTTAGGCCTGGAAAGAAGTTTGAGAATTTTTAATCTTGACTTGTTTGAAATTCTAGAACTATTTTTTATATGGTCTTTAAATGACCCCTACATTACTCTAGGCTTTTAAAGAAAAAAATCTTGGCCTGAAGGAATTTCCGATGTAACACAGTGGGCAGATGTATAAAAATTGGTGGATTTGCCAAACCACATCTTATAAATATTTTATATTTGAAAGAATCATTTTCTTACTGAAATCTTGGAGAGGAGAGATTATGGATTTGTGAGTAGAAAATTCCAGGCTAGTTTAGACCAGGTTGAAATACACTTAAATATTTACTCAGTATTCCTTTAAGTGCTAAGTTTTATTCTAGTTGTGTTAATGCATAATAAGTATTACACTGTCCGCTAAGTGGGGCAGGAAGGACAGTTAACCAAACATCTGCTACTTGCCTGGTACTGATAAAGGATTTACATAAATTATGTAATTTAATTATCACAGTAATTATCTGATAAAGACACTGTTAACGTCCTTTCCATGGGTGAAAAACCGAGATGCAGAGAGGTTAATTAACTTCCCACAATGGCTACTACGGGCTAGAGTCTGATTCTAGGTTCAGAATCACGGTTTGCATGACTTCCAAAGCCATATTCTTTCCTCTGTGTCAGTCGCTAGCCCCAAAGACACAACTGTGCTCTCTTATAATCTAGTAAGAAAACTGAGAAGCATGCGGAAGGGCTGTCCATATCGTTTCAGATAAGGGAAAGAAACATCAGGTCGGTGAGATCCAGGAAGTCTTCATGAAAGAGGTAGAATCTGAAATAGATTTTAAAACATGATGGAGGCTAGGGAACTCTTGTAGTGAGTATATTTCTCATTGTAGGCTTTTCACACTGATAATTTTATTTAACGCACAGCAGTTCAGGGTTGGAACTATTAGGTTCATTTCACTTATCAGAAATATGGGAGGCTAAAAAGGTGAAGCAAATTCTTGAAGGCTTTAGACATGACGTGTGATAGAGCTAGGATGAGTAGGACTGGGACTGCAACAGATAGAGATGGAGTGAGGGCTGGCGTCCCTGGCCAGGGGATGTCATGAGCCAAGGTGAAGCTCTAGGTGTCTGTGGTGTGTCCAAGAAATCTTGAGGAGCCTAGCTGAGCTGGATTCAAGGCAAGGTGGGAAGAAATACTGGAAGAAGTATTTTGGAGCCAGAGTATAAAAGACCTGTCGTGCCAAAGTTTAATTAAGAAGTTTGCACTTAGCTTGGTAGGATGTTAGGGACCTAGGTTATTTTAAACAGGTGAATGAGATGCAGACTGTGTCAGCAGTGTATGTGATAGGTTGGAAGAAGAAACCCTTTAGGATGTCCAAAGTCACAGAGAGACACCAGAGGGACTTGAAGAGATAGGAAGAAAAGGAAAACATAGTAAATATTTTTTGAAAATTGTCCAAGGTGTCAGCTTTGCTCTTCACTTATATTACTACTGTGCTGTGCTGAGTCGCTCAGTTGTGTCCGACTGTTTGCAACCCCATGGACTATAGCCCACTAGGCTCCTCTGTCCATGGGATTCTCCAGGCAAGAATACTGGAGTGGGTTGCCATGCCTTACTCCAGTGGATCTTCCTAACCCAGGGATCGAACCCAGGTCCCCCTCATTGCAGCAGTTTCTTTACCATCTGAGCCACCAGGGAAACCCCTTATTGCTATTAGGCATGTACATTCTATGATTCATTGAGGGAAAGGATGTTGGTAGATCTCTAGTGGGAAGGAGATTTCCAAACTGCCTTAATGGGTTCCGCAGACTATTAATACAAACAGGAACTGCTTGAGAAGCACCATCTCCTGCTTTGGTCTGATTCTGCTTCCCTTCCTGAATTGAGATATTTCAGTCTGTCCATGGTCTTCTGGATTCTCCTTTCCCTAAAGCCTTAAAAAAAAAAAAAAAAAAGCTCCATGGTTTCATTTGCCTTCCAGATGGCTTCCTAACCCTTGCCAGACTTTGTGTAGGTTTCTGATATTCCTGGGAACTTTATACTTATTGGTTGGCAGCATCAAATGAAAGCTATTAATGTAAAATCAAATGCAGACAAGAGTCCTGTTAGAAACCCTGTCTAACTTATCAGTTAAAACGTTCTACACACACACACACACACTGATCCTGCCTTTTTGTAGGCTAAACTTATTTTTAGTTACCACCTTTATTCAGAGATAGAAGCCTAGCAACCCTCCTGTTGTCTCTGGAACTTTGGGAGCACATGGGTTAATGTTTCAGTATCAGTGAGATTCATACTGGCTGGCCTTTGCAACTGATAGATGTTTTACTTTGGCCTTATAAAGACATTTTACCCGCTGGAAACCCTTGTCGCATGACAGGATCAAAAATAGCCCGGCTGCAGCCCCTGCTGTCCATCACCACATGTAAACTGGCATGAGTGAGGCTCTCTTATCCATGTCTGCACATCGTGGACACGGCAGCCTCCAGGGACAGTGTTTCATAAAGCCACACCTGTCGCTGTGAGCAAGTCAGTCACCTGACCTGCAGAGAAGTTCTGAGTGTGTGCATGACCATGCGTCTGGTTTCTGACAAGCAATTAAGAACATCTCTAAGTGTCCTCAGAAACACTTGATGACGTCGTTTCTTCTGGCACTGGGAAAGAGCTACAAGTCTAGTAAAATCGAGTGTATTTTTATCATTGGGGTCAAAGTTCATTACCCTCTGTGATAAATTCATCTTTTCCATGGATTTTCCTTAATGAGTGCTTTCAGTAGAACTCTGAAAAGGCAAAGCAAAGTTTGTTTTTTAAAATCTTAATGTTCAGTTTTCTGTTTTGAGTTCTTTAAAATTTGAAAATTGTCACTTGTGCTTGTACTTCTTATATGTTGCTTTTGGCAACAAGCAGATGGCATTATGGTGTCATATTTTTAGAAATACAGAGGGTTTTGATGGAGATTATTCTAAAGAAAGATGAAAATAAATCAGGTATTCATGGTAGTGTTTTAACTGAGCCATTATGAATGGCAAGAGTGAAAATTGAGATGCATGGGTTTCAAAAATACCTCTTGTGAATTTTTTTTAACAACATTAACTTTTAAGTAAGGCCATTGGAGTGTGTTTTGTATGTGACCTCTGAATGTGTAATTTTAAAAGATACTTAATTTTGTTTCACGTTAACTTTTATAGGATAATACACCATGATAGAATTGATTTGTATAAAATATCTAGCAGTAGGGAAGATTTAAAACAGATATGCTAAGAAATCTGTTTCTGTTGAGTTTGAAGGTGAAACAAGAGTTATTAGATGCCAAAAAAAAAAAGTTTCCTTAGTCTTACTATTGTAACCCTATTAAGTTGATATTAATCTGAGAAATATTTAGTTTGTGTTTCCCTGTCCCTACCTTTTCCTTCAACCTCATCATTTCCCCCAAAACCCCTTCTGTCTGTCTTGCATAGAGATAAACAAGCTGGCTGACCTTCGGTTGCCTGATAGTCAAACAGGTTTGATTGACCCTTGTGTCTTTATGAATTTAATGGAGAAAAAGAGAGAAAGAAAGACCAAAAGTGTGCTGCACATTCTTTTTGGGAATCACTGCCATGAATGTTAATAGCATTTCTGTAGCTTTTCCCACAACAGCCTCTTGTGATAGTGAGCTGCACTACAGTTCGTTTGAAAAAGTGTGATTCTGCTGTGTTTACCACACTTGTGAACTTTTAAATTCCTTTTTTTTTTAATTTGGCCCCCGCCTCCTTTTTTTTATTATCATTATCTTTAATAAGGGTGACTGAGGTTGCAGAGAGATTAATGTGTGCTGAGTCTGCATAGCAATTTCCAGTAGGGTTGCCATGATAATAAACAGACAGATTTTTGTGGAAATTGATTGTCGTTGTGAGAAACCGGCCATCACCCTTACGGAACTGAACAATCACGGATTCCCTTTGGAGTCCTCTGTTCACACTTAAGAAACTTTCCATTGGCTGAACCGTTTGTGTTGTACGAAGTCATCACAAAATTTTCTGAAGTCGTAATTTAGCACTTAGGAAATAACCTCCTCTGTGCGAGGCCCTCCTGAACCGTGATTTCTTTTTTTTCCCAAAACTTTGGTTCCATGGTTATTTCTTGGTTCCAAAATGATCCTGAATAAAAAGTTCCAGCAGGGAGGGTATCCTATTTTCCTTGTTGAATTCTTTCTGGGGCACTCCGTGATCTGGGCTCTGGCCAGACTCCTTTCGCCGATGACTGGCAAGTCGATATTGTGGCAACCCTATGCTCATAATAACCACTAAATTGGAGTTTGTCTGATCTCAGAAGAAGCCAGGCTCAACCCAGGAGGCCACTCCTGCCTGACTTTTTTCTTTTTCTTTCCCATTTCTCAACAGGATACCTGCACACTATGTCTATCCGCAGGCTTTTGTGCAGCCTGGAGTGGTCATCCCCCATGTCCAGCCCACCGCCGCGGCCGCCTCCACCGCACCTTACATCGACTACACGGGAGCCGCGTACGCACAGTACTCGGCGGCCGCCGCTGCCGCCGCCGCCGCGGCCGCCTACGATCAGTACCCGTACGCAGCCTCCCCGGCCGCCGCGGGCTACGTCACGGCCGGGGGCTACGGCTACGCGGTGCAGCAGCCAATCACCGCCGCCGCACCTGGGACCGCGGCCGCCGCCGCCGCCGCCGCCGCGGCCGCCGCCGCCTTCGGCCAGTACCAGCCTCAGCAGCTGCAAACAGACCGGATGCAATAGGCCCGTAGCCCCTGAACAAAGTCTAGTTGCTTTCTCTTTCCAAAATGTCCCAGTTTTCAGTAGCTAATGAGAGTTAACTTAACAGCTTTAAAAAAAAAAAAAGGCTATGCTATTGTGAAGCAGAATTATGATTTTTTTTATATACTCCAGTAGTCATTCTAGACGTGCAAAAGAAGGAAGGGGAGTGGGCGCAGTTTTTGGAAATCAATCCCAAAGAGCCTGAGTAAATACAAGGCCGCGATGAAATGGTGGCAGGAGAAAACCATGGAACTTCACTTTTATAATGGGATTTTTACTTTTGCTCTTTTTATAGTATCAGGGAAGCAAACTGCCTTTTACAGTTAGGAAATGCTATTTGAATCTAGTTGAACCAGGGAATACAGAGTGAGCAATATGTAGCTTGAATTACATTGAAAAGCAGATTTAAAAAAAAAAAAATGGTGAAAGCACTGATTGTCATTTTTAGCCGTCACTATGGCCTAGAGAACTTTTCTCAAGTAGGAAGGTGATGTTCTTACTCTCTCAAAAAAAAAAAAAAAAAAAAAAGGGCATCGAACAATCAATCTAGGAGCGTGGCAGTGGGTGAAGTGGTGGACAGGCACCAAAGCTATTTTCTCATCCACCCAGTGGATGAGTGGGACTGTGAAACAGGTGATGTGGAATGAATGGGCGCAACAGCTGTACAGACAATCAATAACACACACAGTTCTGGAAAGAACACATCACTTGTGCTTGTTTGATGAGCTTGTCACATTCTAATCCCTCTCCCCATCCTGTTTCAATTTTGGGAAACTTGTATCTGCTGGTGTCAGCAATTCTGATTCTGAAATAGGATCAGGCTTTTACTACATACAACCGCCTTCTCTTTCTATTTATTGTGTCGACTCGTGGCTTATGATTAAAGGCAGGCAAAGTTTGCAGACTCTAAACCCTTAAGAGCTGTCTTAAGGACATTTATTTTTTTTCCCTTTTTAAGTAATTTTACACTTTTTAGTATCTATTTCAGAGTCATATTTAAAACTATTTATTAGTGAATACCGTACATGAGACACCAAGGTTACCGAGATGACAGTTCTTCAATGGTTAATGATAATGTGGTTTATACTGTGCCTTAATAGTAATGCTATTTAAGATATTTATTTTTAAGTTTTACTATGCTGCACTCTAAAGAAAGGAACTTTAGATGTGACACTGTAAAATTATGTATTCATCTCATGGCATAAATTATTTAGTAGGTCTAGATGTAGCATATTAAATATTAACCTATTCAACTAAAGATGTTGACTTGGATTTATTTAAATTCATATGTGCACTGTATAAGAGAATACTCTTACATTAACACATTTTAGTTTATTTTAGTTTTTAGGTTTTTTTTTAACAGGATCTATTGCTAGTTTCATGCTTCCTTCTCTGATTTTGCTCATGCAGCTCTCATTTACTGATACTTCATTAGTTTAACACTTCTTATGTAGTTTTTAAATGCTGCTTTACATTTTTCTTCTGAAACTGCAATACTTGCAATTTTTATTCTTAAACTAAATTGAATACTATTTTACACTGTATTGGATTTTTATACTTGAACAATTTCATACAAGGGAAGACAGGTTAGCATTTTTATGGACTTTCTCCATTATCACTGGATTTAAGTATTCCCATACTAGACAGTGTTATGTAATGTAGACATGACTCTCCTGTGCAAATTATTTATTCATTGTGTATATTGCTTTATAACATTTCAGATCTTCTAATCTATTCACTTGTATTAAATATAATTTTTAACAACTTCTGTTGCATTGATTGTTTCTCCTTTTGTGGTAAAAGTGGAATGATGTCTCTCTTTAATTAGAACTAATGGTGTGATTTCCAGGTAGCATTTTCAGTGAGCAGAAAGCTTCCCAGATGCCTTCTTTTTATACTTTTTAAGTAAATTTCATTAATTCAGTATCTGCCTTACATTTAGCACATGATATAGGTCTTTCCCCAGTAGTGAATGAACCCTAAACGACATTCATGTCACTGGAACTTGGTTACTTGAAGGTTGTTTGGAAGGAGAGGGCTATAATGGGAACGGTCAGCTCAGAGCTGCAGTGATGCTGGGCTCAGATAAACTTAGGTTTGGTACTAATCTCTAACCATGTACTGGCAATGTGACTAAAACACATTGCTTTTTGTAGTCCACTTTTGGGGTGAGGTTTTTATTGATTTCTCATATATAATTTTAGGACAGAAATACCTATCTTACATGGTTATTTTAAGTATTAAAGTATATCAACTATTGGGTAAAAAGTTCATTTGGGGTTTTCTATAAGATGTTATGGAAAAACCCAAACTTTCTGGCAAACTCTATACTTGGCACAGAATCAAATGCATTACTATTTATCTAGAGAAATGATTACTGTCAACAGTTTCTGTAATGTCCTATAACAAAAGCTAACCAAAGAGGAAATCACCTCTTGGAATGTTTATATTTTTAAATTTTTGTCCACAGTGATGTGGCCATGACTGTCATATTGCCTTAAAGTATACATGTTACATTAGTTATGGAATGGATTGTCTGCTGGTCCCTAGGTCTTAATGTTTTCCAAATCCATGATATAATATCTTTTATTGAATTCCATTAGTTTTTGAAAATTATAAAGTTATAACAGATTCCAGCATGCTTTCTACTTGATGATAACTATTATCCTATTTAGAGCCACCACAATCTTCAACCTTAATTGCCTTTAATTTTCCAAAGAAAATTAGACACCACCAAACACCTTGGGAGAGATTGTATTGCACCTCAAGGTATTATCTTGGATCAGTAAAATAATTTCTAAACTACTTAGTTCAGTCCATGCATCAGTGATCATTATACTCCAAAAGACAAGCTCTACATTTAATGTTTCAGATTTATGAAAAGTCGCTTGTGCCCTCTATAAGTCATGTGTTTATTGCTGAGCTTTAAAATGAAACATTTGATTTATCAATTAAAAATAGGTCAGATGATTCTGGGAAAAGCTTGTCAGAAATAGCCATACTCAGGGAAGCCAGAAGTTCATGTACACCTGACTACACCTTGGAGGTATTTACTGATCTATATAAATGTCAATATTAGCAGTTAGAGAGGACAAGATTTTTACTTAATAATGCTAGAGCACATATTTCTAAAAGTAAGTAAAAGTTCTTAATTTCTAATAAAGAGGGGGGCGTACCCATGACACAAGTTCTCTATTGGTCAGGAAGCTAGTTATATTTGTAGAGTTAGAGAACACGATGATCTGAGATTCAAAGAGCTGGATGAGTCCTCTTTTCTTTACTTACCAGCAGGGTGATCTTGTACCCCTCTATGCTGGTAACCTATAAACTGATTGTATCTAACATGTTGCTTTGTTAATCTCTCAGGTCGTACTGATCAAATGAATTAACTGATATGAGAGCATTTTAGAAATTTTGAATGTTAGGCAAATGGAAGTTATACTGTGGTAATATACACAATATTAATTTGGAAATAGACCTCCGTTGTCTTCTATGAAATGACTCTTCCAAAAGAGGGCAAAATCGTTATTTCATGATGTTATTTTTCCTCTTCCTGACCAAGTCGCAGCTAAACTTGCTGTGCAGTGTGAGTGGCACAAAAATCACATTGAAAGATGAAGGGATTGCTCAAGGGAAGGAAGGGAAGATGAAAAGATTATGGAATATATTTCTCTCACAGGGAACTATATTTTTAGCTTCTTCTTCACTCCTGTCAAATATTGTTCTTAATTCCCTCTGAGGCTTGAAAGCGTTTATTAAGATGACAGTCTGAAGTTTACAGAGGCAGAGGTGAAGAGGAACCAAGAAAATAAGTAAATGCATTTTTATGCTTTTGTGCTCTTTTTTTCCTTCAAAAGTTCCAGGTTGTTTCCATGGAAATTCTAACTTCGCTTTGCTTAAGCACTTCATACAGAAGACGTTTCATTTTGGATATCTGGTCCAAGTTGAATTTTATAAGTTCAATAATGACTTTAGATAAGTCATTTACATTCCAGACTTTGAAATCCCAATCACAAATCAAAATGAGAAAGAAATTAGACAATACATATATAAGCACTTTAGAAATTTTAAATACAAAGGATTTTCAGCTTTGATATCATGTATTTATTCTATCTCAAAATTGCACAGTATCTGGTAATTCTTGACCAACTTCTTCAGAAAGAAAGTCTATAAAGTACCCTTCTTGGAAAGTCTATAAAGTAACCTTCTTGGACTTCTCTGGTGGTCCATTAACCAATGGAGAATGCAAGAATCCAGCTGCCAAAGCAAGGGACACAGGTTTGATTCCTGGCGCAGGAAGATTCCAAATGCCGCAGGATAACTAAGCCCAAGCACCACAACCACTGAAGCCTGTGGACCTCAGAGCCTGTGCTCTGCAATAAGAGAAGCCACTGCAATGAGAAGCCCAGGCATTGCAATTAGAGAGTAGCTCAGTCTCTGTCGGAGAAGGCACCCCACTCCAGTACTCTTGCCTAGAAAATCCCATGGACGGAGGAGCCTGGTAGGCTGCAGTCCATGGGGTCGCTAGGAGTCAGACACGACTGAGTGACTTCACTTTCACTTTTCACTTTCATGCATTGGATAAGGAAATGGCAACCCACTCCAGTGTTCTTGCCTGGAGAATCCCAGGGATGGGGGAACCTGGTGGGCTGCCATCTATGGGGTCACACAGAGTTGNGTCGCACAGAGTCAGACACGACTGAAGCGACTTAGCAGCAGCAGCAGCAGTCTCTCTGTAACTAGAGAAAGCCCACAGGCAGCAATGAAGACCCAGCACAGCCAAAAATTAAATACAGTACGCTTCTTTCCAGTTACTTGTCTCTTGGGAGATGAATGTCATAGCTTTTTAAAATCCAAGATACTACCTCTAAGCCATCAATATGCTATCAATATACTTTAAGTGAGTTGGAGTGCGTGCATTGTTTTTCCTGTTTCCACTCTCAGAGGTCATTCTGATTGCATCATAGCAGGGATTGAGTAGCAATCGTTATTTCTTTTCATTTAATAGCTCAGATAATATGTTCATAGAAGGGCAAACTGACTTCCAGAGTGAGCGTGAAACACAAAAACCTTGTTTTGCCAAGTATGGGCATTTATGCTCAGTCCCTCAGTCAGGTCCTACTCTCTGTGGCCCCATGGACTGTCCTCCACCAGGCTCCTCTATCCATGGGATTTTCCAGGCAAGAATACTGGAATGGGTTGTCATTTCCTCCTCCAGGGGGATCTTCCTAACCCAGGAATTGAACCCATGTCTCCTGAATTGCAGGCGGGTTCTTTAAGCACTGAGCCACCAGGGAAGCCCAGAAATAATGAGGCTTATCTCTAAACTAGGTTCACCTGACAGTCGCAACCAGGTATGAACATGTTTACTTTCTGAAACTCTCTAAGCCGCACCACTTGTGCTCAAGGTGCCTCAGGTCCTCACCTGAGATAGAAGATGTGAAGAGATGTGAATTAGATAGAAAAGATTCTTCGGGGCATCTTAACGAGCACGCATTTCCATTCTGCGTTGTCTTGTGTCCATTTTGAAATTTGAGAAAGGAGGGGTGTGAAAAGGAAGTAGAAGAAAATAATGAAGAAAAGAAAAAAAGTGTGTCCTAAAGCCACGTGGAAGGGGGTGAGATGGAGGAGTGGGAGTCAGGTGGGCGGATCACGTGTGACGAGGACCTGCCTGTGGGCGAGCAAGCTCTCGTGTGGCGAGGACCTGCCTATGGGCAGGTCACGTGTGGTGAGGACCTAAGCGGGTCACATGTGGCGAGGACCTGCCTGTAAGCGGGTCACGTGTCGTGAGGACCTGCCTGTAAGCAGGTCACGTGTGGCGAGGACCTGCCTGTGGTGGGCCACGTGTGGCAAAGACCTGCCTGTAGCACGGGACTTCCCTGGCCGTCTTGACTGTTAAGCCACCTCGCTTCTTAAAAAACAAAGGGGAGCCAGTTTGATCCCTGGTAGTGGGGAACTAATATCCCACATGCCAAGGGGCTTTAAAAAAGAGAGAGGGGGGAAGGGGAAGATTAAAGAGAAATGTACTTACCTTACTAACCAGTATAGTTTTCCTTCAACACGGGAACAGATCATGTGTGGCGGAGGAAGGTGAGCTCTGCACATCTCTTTTTGCACATGCTTCTGCCTCAATGCGGGTCACTCCTACTGATGGGTCTTTGGGAGAAGTAAAAAAGTTGAAGAAGGGGTGTGGCCTGCACTGCTAACCACACATCAGGTACCAGGTACTTAAATGTGAAGTAAGTAATGGTATCCCCGGTTCGATTCCTGGGTTGGGAAGATCTGCTGGAGAAGGGATAGGCTACCCACCCCAGTATTCTTGGGCTTCCCTTGTGGCTCAGCTGGTAAAGAATCTGCCCGCAATGTGGGAGACCTGGGTTCGATCCCTGAGTTGGGAAGATCCCCTGGAGAAGGGAAAGGCAGCCCACTCCAGGATTCTAGCCTTGAGAATTCCATGGACTGTGTAGTCCATGGGGTGGCAAAGAGTTGGACATGACTGAGCAACCTTCACTTTCACTTTCAATGGTATCCCCAACTACCCCAAGCCACAGCTTCAGCGTGGCGCAGAACTGGGTTTCAAGGTGGGGTGGCCTGAAACCACCTCCTCTGTGCCTGCTACCTCACCACCTGCTTCCAGACTTGTTCTTTCTAGTGACCCCTAGGTGCTTCCCCTGGGTTCCTCAGACAGAGCCATTTGGCAGTGGATTGCCATTTCTTTCTCCAGGGGATCTTCCTGACCCAGGGATCCAACCCGGGTCTCCCAC